AGCAACCAACCTTGCGCGATCGACCCGTTGCCACATGTGAACGCATACACACACATGCACACAAGCACACATCCCATGTCATGATGAGTAATAGCCATAGCGGCCCCTAACGTGAACGAAACAGAGAAATAAAGTAGATACAGTAACCCCAGTGATAAACGAGGGATTCATTTATCACTGAGGTTACGCTCCTGTGTTAAGTGAAATCCGTGAAGTAGTCATCTTTGTTTTTTTTTTTTTTTTTTTACAATAACTACGTATACAATACAATGCTATGTTGAATGAAACCAAAGATTTTTTTTTCAGGCCCAAGCATTAAAAAAACAAAAATATAAACCTTTTCTTGCAACCCACTGACAGTTTTTAGAAATACTGTGCAGAACATTTCTTTGCAATTGTGAGTTTTGTCATGGAGAAAATGTGGCAAGCTGGACAGCGATGAGGAACGGAGAGTGTTGACCTTAGTCAACAGTCCCTGAGCCAATCAAGATACAGAACACAAAGCACTGCTTAGAAAAAAATCTGTGAAATTGCGAAGCCCTGAAAGATGAACCGTATCATAGCAAGGGGTTACTGTACAAGAGTTTCTGAGTTTGTGAAAAGAAAATCACTGCCTATCTTCGTAGAGACCTGACATGGAGGCATGGGACGCACTTTTGCAACCTGCATGAGCATCACTATCATAGCTCACGGGGACCGTTTTCAAACGCTTCTCCTGGTTCTCCAGATTCCCATTCTTTGCCAGTACCATTGGTGAATTGCAGCTAAACCAAACTTTGAATGAGAATAATAATATAAAGGTATATCGCAACAGCTGTGATCACAAGCTGCAATTGCAGACTGTTGACCCCTAACAACGTCCGTTTATGCAGGTCATGTGCCACCATAGATTAAAGGTTACCTTTTTTATTTTATTTTTTAAATAGTTTTTGGGTGAAAATGAAACTGATAGGATGCTTAGGTTGCAGTGTACACTAACTCAAAAGTAGTATATCATGTGAATAACACGCACACAGACACACAAATCACAGAAACTGAGTTAGCAAATACATTTTGGTAGTAGCAGGCTAATATTGCATTCGAAGAATTAATCTAAACCTTATTAACATACATATACTTACCGAAATTACATCTTGAGAGGATCGACATGGACAAAGTTCATTTTTAAAAAATGTCATTCTGACAGCCACAAGAGGGCGCCTTGGTATTGTCAAGTCCAGTCAGCTTTATTGTCAAATATGCTCTATGTGCAACATACAGCACAGATGAAATTTCTTTCCTCTCAGCCTCAATGCAACCATAGGAGAGAGAGGAGCCGCTGCGGGGACTCGCACCGGCATCAACAGAACCCATCGATCCATTTTCTACCGCTTATCTGGGTTAGGGTTGTGGTGCAGCAGCTTTAGCAGGGAAGCCCAGACTTCCCTCTCCCCAGCCATTTCTTCCAGCTCTTCCCGAGGTATCCCGAGGCGTTCCCAGGCCAGCTGGGTGACATAGTCTCTCCAGCGTGTCCTGGGTCTCCTGCCAGTGGGACATGCCCGGAACACCTCACCAGGGAGGCGTCCAGGAGGCATCCTAATCAGATGCCCGAGCCACCTCATCTGGCTCCTCTCGATGGGGAGGAGAAGTGGCTCGACTGTGAGCCCCTCCCGGATGACTGAGCTTCTCACCTTATCTCTAAGGGAGAGCCTGGACACCCTGCAGAGATAACTCATAACCAAAACGGACACCCTCAACGCTTTGGCTGCGCAGAGAAATTATGTCCATAAAGATTAAGAACAGAATCGGCGACAAAGGGCAGCCTTGGCGGAGTCCAACCCTAGCTGGAAACGATTCTGACTTACTGCCAGCAATGCGAACCAAACTCTGACAATGGTGGTGTAGGGACGGAACAGCCCGTATCAGGGGGTTCGGTACCCCATACCCCCGAAGCACCCCCCGCAGAACTCCCTGAGGGACACGGTCGAACGCCTTCTCCAAGTCCACAAAGCACATGGAGACTGGTTGGGCGAGTTCCCATGTACCCTCGAGGACCCTGCGAAGGGTGTTAAGCTGGTCCACTGTTCCACGGCTAGGACGAAAACCACACTGCTCCTCCTCAATCTGAGGCTTGACTTCCCGACGGACCCTCCTCGTCAGCACCCCTGAATGGACCTTACCAGGGTTAGTGTTAGGAGGAGGAGTGTGATCCCTTTGTCTGCCAATCCAGAGGCACTCTCCCTGATGACCATACAATGTAGCAGAAGTGTGTCAACCAGGACAGCCCCACAACATCCAGAGCCTTGAGGAACTCTGGGCGGATCTCATTCACCCCTGGGTCTTGACACCGAGGAGCTTTTTAACCACATTGATGACTTCAACCACAGAGATAGGAGAGCCCACCTCAGAGTCCTCACACTCTGCTTCCTGCAAGGAAGGCGTGTTGGTGGAGTTGAGGAGGACTTCGAAGTACTCTGCCCACCGATTCACATGGGAAAAGCTCTGGAGGTGAGAGTTTAAGCTCCTTCTGACAGGAGATTCTGCCAGACGCTTCCAACAAACCCTCACAATACGTTTGGGTCTGCCAGGTCAGACCGGCATCTTCCCCCACCATCGGAGCCTACTCATCACCAGGTGGTGATCAGTTGACAGCTCCGCCCCTCTCTTCACCCGAGTGTCCAAAACATGCGGCCGCAAATCCGATGATACGACCACAAAGTCAATCATCTTAACTGCGGCCAAGGGTGTCCTGGTGCCAAGTGCACATATGGACACCCTTATGTTTGAACAAGGTGTTCGTTATGGACAATCTGTGCCGAGCACAGAAGTCCAATAACAAAACACCACTTCAGTTCTGATCAGGGGGGGCCTGTTTCTTCCAATCACGCCCTTAGAAGTCTCACTGTCCTTAGCAAGTGAGCATTGAAGTCCCCCAGCAGAACAAGGGAGTCCCCAGCAGGAGTACTTTCCAGCATACCCTCCAAGGACTCCAAAAACGGTGGGTACGATGAGCTGCTTTTTGGGTGCATATGTACAAACAACAGTCAGGACCCGTCCCCCTACTCGAAGGCGGATGGAGGCAACCCTCTCACCTACCAGTGTGAACCCCAATGTACAGGCACTGAGGCGGGGTCAATGAGTATGCCCACACCTGCTCTACAACTCTCACCGTGGGCAACTCCAGAGTGGAAGAGAGTCCAACCCCTCTCGATAGAACTGGTACCAGAACCCAGGCTGTGTGTGGAGGCAATTCCGACTATATCCAGTCGGAACTTCTCTACCTCGCACACCAGCTCGGGCTCCTTCCCTGCAAGAGAGGTGACATGCCAAGTCCCAAGAGCTAGCTTCTGCAGCTGAGGATCGGACCGCCAGGGTCCCCGCCTTTGGCTGCTGCCCAGCTCACATTGCACCCGACCCCTTTGGCCCCTCCCATGAGTGGTGAGCCCATGAGAAGGGGGACCCACGTTGCCTCTTCGGGCTGAGCCCGGCCAGGCCCCATGGGTGTAGGCCCGGCCACCAGGCGCTCGCCAACGAGCCCCACCTCCAGATCACCAGAACACTTAACATGAAATAACAAAATAATACAACACAACACATAAGACACAGACAGTCATGCAATCCTAACCACTTTTTCTGCATACACTTGGTTGTTGTTGTTTGAAGCAGTTCTAGATGAAAGAGGAGCAAATCAAAGTGTCCTTTCACCAGTGGATCAGAGACGTCATGCTGAAAATTTGCACACATCTGCTACAAGTTCAGTTTGAAAGCAAACAAGAACCTGTAGCATAACATTGAAGAAAAAAAGACATTTGTTCACTTCTCCTGTCCCATGTAAATCCCCTTCAATTCCAAGCGCCGTTCCACATACGCATCTGCGCTCTGCGCTGACGCTCCTTTATTCTCATTGGCTCCACAAGCCATCCATTCATCCATCTGCAGACTCCCAAAAGCACCGACATTTCCGCTGAACTTCACGGGGTTGTGAAAAATGCTGTCCATTACAGGCGCAAAAAACACAAGCGCCCCGGGGCTGTCCAGCACTGACAGTCAAATGGCGCAGACATTCCTCCCAATCAAAATCAGTGCTGGTATATGCGTGCTGCCGAGAAGGCACAACCACCAAGCACAGATTATTCTCCTTTTATGAATGTCGTGGCCAAAAAATCGCAGAAAACAATCCACATCAGTTCCACACAATGTCACAACAAACACCATGTGACAAAACAAAACAAGAACAACAAAAAAAAAAAAACAATAAAAGTAAGGCCCTTGAAGAGCACTTGCAGACGGCTGCCTACTTGGGCGCCATTTTGGAAAAAAAATAAAAAGATGACTGGTATCGGCCGCCGTCACGAATAGTCACTGCATCGAAATAAGGCCGATACTGGCCAGATACTGCTACATCGCACCGGTACTCATCCCAAACCACAGTGATGGTTAATATTTTTTAGTAATTACTGCCATGAATTCCATTTGCCTAATATTTTATGCATGTTAATTAATGAGGAAACTTAAAGTCCAAAAATTGAGGTTGTTGAGGTCCTCTGTGTTACTGTGGTCATCATTTCTCTGCCATATACCCTCTTGTTCCTTTCTGTGTCATAACAACATTAAGATGCTGACTGCTCTGCTTTTCATTAAGTATTGCTTTATTTATTTGCGTGTGCTTGAACCTGAATCTGGATGTTGTCTTTTCATTGTAGTTGCATTGTGGTGTGATGCCTTGAAATTGCCTGCTTTTTCATCAAACATTCATGACAACATAATCAGACACCTGAGTGATCAACAGTTATTTGTACGATGATTTTTCTACATTAACGGCATTGTCAATTCCAAACTTGATTGTGCTGTGTTGTATAAAATATGAATAGTTCAACACTTAGGTGAGTTTCATTTAAAGACGTGCATGTTGTCCTAACTTGCTCAATCAATGTGCCAGCGGTAATTTGAATGACACAGCATTTTTTTTGTTGAAGTGCGCTTGTCATCAGAAGATATCACATCACATTTCTCCCTCTCAGGTGTCATTGCTGGAGTACCGTAAGAGGAAGCAAGTTAGCAACCGTGATCCCGAGCCATCCAGCTGCGGTTCATCCCTGGGTAGCACCCCAACTGGAGCCGGCTCTCACCACATCCAGGAGACCCACCATTCCCGCTACTTGATGCATCCCATTGCTTCTCCGCACAACTGCACGCCTTCATCAGGACACAGCGGTTCCATCCCTCAGATCGAGGCTGTCAGTCCTCCAGACCACCACAGCTCATGTGTGCAAGCGAAACACCCAGATAGGACCACACAGTGGTGAGAGCAAGCTATTAGAATTAATTATAGAAATGGGCACTTTACCCTATTTTGCCAGTCCGTCCTCTGTTTTCCGTTCCCGACCTGGGCACCCCTCCGGCAACATCCTGACGTCCTTAGTCATAAAATAATTGTCCTGTGTCCTCGTCCTTTCAAACCGATTCCATCACCAGACCGTGCCCCTTTCAAAAAAAAAAAAAGCATCTGTGTGTGACGCCATGGGAGAGAGGCTAACGGCTACTTGAATCCCTATTCATGTTACCACTATTTTAATACCTGCAGTCAAAAAAAAAGAACAGGCTAACACACAATTTATTGTGAATGGACCACTTCACACACAAAAAAATACTTGATTTTGTGTGTGTGTGTGTGTCTGCCCCCCCGCTGCTTCTCCTCTTCAAACTGCCCCTTGTAGGTGGGTACCCCATTGGACATGTTCCCCTTGAGGAAAACCAGCCACTAGGCAGGAAGGAGGGTGTAGTCGGCTGTTGGGAAAAAAAAAAAAACCCTCTCTCCAGCAGCGGAGCTTGGGTCTGGTGTATTGGAATTAATAAATAAATCCATCTACGCTTCCCTGTGCTCCACCAGCGTGTTCTAATGCAGTACGCGCGCTTAGGTGACAAGTGGCGCGTTTGAAGCATTCCAAGGCAATTTTTGCACTGAGCCCATTTCGCGCGAGTAGGTTGAAATGAACTTTTAGCTGCCTCATGTCGACGTCGAAAACGTCCAGGATATGTCACATGCAGGCGCATGAATATGCAGATGCAGTTGAATAATGTAAACAATAAATAAATAAATAAAACATCATGCGAATGAATAAGCAGACGTAAACAAACGTAAATAAAGTAAACACACACACACACACACAAACACACATACACAGGCATGCGCACACACATGGTGTGGGGCGGGACTGCGAGGGATACAACATGGTCAGCTTTCTTAACCGGCTGGCTTGAATTGTTTACAACTGTTGAAATCAATATAACTTTTAGCTGCCAAAACATACACCGTCAGTCAATAGACTCATTCAGTGGCGATGTGTAAACTTTTTGGGACTGGAAAAGAGTGCTCCTCCTTTTGTCCGCTTCAAGCAAAGTGAAGTCACTCCGACATCCAAACACAATGACAAGTGACACATTCGGCCTGAAGTAGTTGATTGGCGCATTACGCCCACAAAACAGGCTGGGCGTGTGTCTGTCAGTCATCTGTAAAATGGGTGTCTGTTGGTACTTGACCCGGTTAGGGACGATCACGCGGGCGGAAGAAAACCCACTTCTGTCTTTGCTTAGTCCATCTTTTTGACAAAACTTATCATCCTCCATACCCGAAATGAGCGTCCAGCCGGGACGGACTGTTCCATCCCAGGGACGGAATGCCCATCTCTGATTAAATACATTTTTATAAAACTTCCGATCAAGATTAACTCAGCTCTTGTCACCATTTTAGGATGGTCCCCACCAGTGTTGAACGTCTACGTGAAGGTCAAGGGGCATTGGAACGTGTGCTGAGAAGCATGAAGATGGAGCAGATGCTCAAGAGGAGCAATAGTTCAACAGAAAAAGAATCTGGTATGAAGAGATGAATGTAAAAAATGGGATGTTCAACTGAAATGGAAAACTTTAAAACACTTGTTTGGTTGCCCAAACAATAACCAAACTCACACTTTGGTATGTTGACAAAAGGAATGAATATGCAGCATTTTCCCGCCTGGGTGGGATACAGTAAACAGTCAAAATCTTTCTGAAAATACTAGCGGTGCAATTACCTGCAATTAATCACAGTCTTCTGAGTAACATGAATAAATGTGATTTCAATACATAATTGAATGAATAAATGTTTTTTTTTTGTTTTTTTGTTTTTTATGATTTCAAATGTGACATAAAAATGACGGGCAAAAACAACTAGTCTAAAACTACAATACAATTTAAAATGAATTATGTTGCACATATTCAAAAATAAGTACGGCTGTAGCAAGAAGTAACACTTATTTACTCCTCCCCCTCCCTTATAACCTTATTGATGATTTTTTTTCAATGCAGTATCATAATAGTAATCATAATTGTTCAGAAATATTGATGCATACACATCCTTATTCCTCTACACGCCAATACTTATCATCATAGGTTGCCGTAAGTTGTATACATGGACCATAACATTTTGTGTCATGAAAAGAGAAAGATGACGGCGTGCTACTGTAGGGGAGGTTTTTTTTTCATGAAGTTTTCCGAGTTAAACTAGAGATCATCTACCGAACTCAAGATGGAAAAGTTATAATTGAAGATGAACTTCTGAACTTGATGGTGATTAAAGTAAGAACCCTGGGCCACGATAATATTTCGCCGGTGACCAGCATGTCAGCTCCGAAAGAACTGAATCTGCTGAGGGCGTTTTGTCAGAGTTTGTTCCACACAAGTGCTGGCTCACGCTCAGGGGTCAAGAGAAGGGTATGAGCAATGTTAAATTGTGCCTACAAGTGCCCAGTTCGTGCGGAGAAGCTATCCCAAGATTTATTTTGCATTTCCTGGATGAATTACAATCCCCTGTCATTTCATCATGTGGACGTGTCGGCACTCCTTGGAAGAATGCGGCAAATAACTGCTGACATTGACCCATCGCAAAATCACGATGAACACTCAGGTACTGCTTGTGAAACATTGCTCGATGTTTCTGCTGCACTTGACGCCCAGATGACAGCCATGGAGGACTTCTCAAGCTCGAGCATATTTCCAGCTGATACACCGGGTTCTCCCAATGTTGGGCCCTCCCATACCCGTTGGATGTCATGGGCGGATGACAAGTAGCGCCTGGTGTGATCGTTGGTCATCGAGCCGAAACAATGGACCCAGTATCAGAAGTCACACAGCCTCCAGCGTGGAACATAGTGAAGGAAGGAGACCAAAGAGTGCTGCCCAACGTCACCCTACATTGCACGCACTTAATTAAAACTCCAGCAAGACAAGGAAGATGTCCGGAATAACCGGGACGAGGACTGGGAGCAGTCTACCGGCTGTCAAAACAAAGATGATGAGTGTATTTGCAACCAAGTTTGATCTCAATGTGGACGCCAGCACTCTTTGTAATTACTTGAAGGAAAAGCTGGGCCAGAAGGTAAAAAGATGAGACATAGCAGAAAATATAACATTTGTATTGCATCACTGCTGAATACAATGATATGGTGGAAATGTACGACCCACAGCTTTGGCCCACCGGAACGTTTGTCCGATGCTACGACAAGCCTCAACCTAACCCCAGAGGAGCACCCTGTGGGATACTAAAGAATCCTCCGGCTCTCGGCAAGATGGCTTGTTGCCCGGTGGTGAAATTGAAGCGCTTTCTGCAGCTGAGGAGTAGCGGCCAACCCCCCCGCAAGCAGCCAACAAGGACTAATAATGCTGATCGTTAACGACAACACTCGGGGTTTGCAAGGAGGTCACACTGTTTCAGAAAAGCCAAGTCGCTTGGTGGTGGACGCACTGCTTGTCGGGTGTGACATTTTATGCCTTCAAGAAACAAGATCAGGAGAAATTGAACACTAAAACAAGGACTTTCATGGGGCGGGTGAGTCCACAACTGGTCTCAGCGTGAAAATATTTGAGGAAAGCTGGGGATGTAGCCATGATGTAGAACGTTAAATATGACCCACTGGGCAAGGTATTACAATTAACTGTTGATTTGGCCATCGGGCTAGAATTTCATTCAAATAAAAAGAATTGTACAGTTCTAATGTTTATATGCCTCATGAATGACTGGAGAATCAGGCGAAATGTCTCAACAGATTAGCTCTGATGCAAATAATATACTGGAGAATTCTTCAGCATGTGGTATGGATGACCCGGTCCTTTTGAGCTCATCTACTTCTGATGGTTTGCAACCGATGTTGAAGGTGTGCTCCCGCTATGGCATACGTCAGGGGTGTCAAAACCCATTTTCGTCGCGGGCCACGTTTTAGTGACCATTTCCCTTGTAAAGCCATTATGACTGAAACCATTTAAAAAAGTCAATAATTACGGATTATTCAACTATTGTTTAAGTTGCTGTCATGGGAGGTTTGGCACCAAAAAAATGCTGACATCTCTCTTATCTCTTATTACATATAAAAATTTGAAATTTTGGTCCATATTTTGGCAAGCATCATGGAAGTTGACATCTTTGATTTGCTTTCAAGGGCCGCATAAAATGATGTGGCGGGCCAGATCTGGCCACTGGGCCTCGAGTTTGACACCTGTGGCATAAAACATGATATTAGATATACCCTAAAAGATACTCTCCGGCTGCTTTGCTGTTGAGAAAGTGTTCAATGTGCTCTGATTTTGTTAAGTGCTTATTGTTCAGAGCATATGTTACACTGTTCAGCTATGCTCCAATTGTAAGAAGAGGCAAAAGAAATTCCCTGTAATGATGCATTGAGGCTCCTTCTTTGACTTCCAAGGTGGGACAGTGCTTGTCAATTATTTGCTTCTTGAAGATTACCAACATTCGATGCACTACTACAACAGTGGATTTTTCCCTTCATCTGTCGCCTTGACAAGTCAGAGAAGCATACAATAGAAGCCTTGGTCAGCCCAGTGAAAAGTTGCTATCGATTTACTTCAGACGGCGTTGGCGCCATACTTGATCACATGTTCAGTTTTGTCTTTTTGATACTTATCTTTCTGTGTTTTTCTTTTTTCATTTTGCCTGTATGGACCTGTGTCTGCAATAAAGGAGAAAGAAAGAATATTCAAATGGATTTATCTATTTGTTCTCTTATGAAAGAATCCATTTATATTGTAGCTACTTTGTCCTCATATTCTTATGGGCAAATTGTTGATACCTCTCTATTAATGAAAGAAAAACCCACAGCCCACAGTGGTAACAGAAATAACCTGACAAATTATGTATACATTTTTTAAAAAAAAAAAACCCTCTCTCTCTCTCTCTCTCTCTCTCTCTCTCTCTCTCTCTATATCTCTCTCTCGCTCTCTCTCTCTCTCTCTCTCTCTCCTACCTACAGCGTTAGCATCATTGCAACCTGTTGTATGAATTATTATGAATTATTGTGGAAAAAAATCGGAGATTTCATTTTAAGGCCATAACTCCTAGCACTACTATTTGATATTTTGTCACTTGGAATGTTCTCCTTACCGTCACTGTATTGACCCCGATCCTGACGCTGACTCTTTGTGGACGAGATAAAACAGTCGAGCTGGCACCGCAGAAAGTCCCGCTCCTCTTCCAGGTCTTCAATTCTTTTCTGAAGCCAGGAGTTTTTCTCCACAGAAATCTGCAGCTGTGTCCGTAGGTTTGTGATCACCATGTAGGAGCTGCTGACGTGAGATGGGCCAGCAGATGGCGCCGACTCTGCCAAGGATTGAACATTGGCAAAACAAGTTGAAGGTCAAATTAAACATACTGTATAACTAAAAGAATGACATGGTATGTATTTAAATCATCCTCATGACTTTGCCTTAGGAAGCTTAATTCTAACACACGATGCAAATGCTATAGACAAGCTAACGATAAGCATTGATGCTGTGGCGTTACAACCCCTGAAACACATGTAGACAAACACACAACAATTTTGAAAGGAATATATTCTTTCTCCGGCAACATGACAAGCGGTCACAATCTTTGTGGAATTTTCTAAAAACAAACGAACAAACAAACATGGCCAGAGCACTGCAAATACATCTCAAGCCCTCCATAACAACTCAAATGATTAAAATCTACTGCCCACACCACTCTCGTCATCAATAACATTCCATTCAAGTTATTTAAGTCAAGTTTTGGGGGCCAAGTGATGTTGTTTGAGACGTCATGGTCATTTTAGCCAGCTTATTGGTTGATATTTTTATCTGAAACTTGTCACGTTACTACTTTATCCTGTATGTCTGAACGACACTTACCCCTGGTGGCCACAGCGAGCACACAAGAATCAACAAAGTGTGGGGCTGGAACGGATTATGGCATTTCCATTCATTTCAATGGGGAACGATGATGTGACAGTCACCTTCAAAATTTTGGCCACTTTGGTTGAAAAATCCTGCTTGCTGCTCAAAGTTGCTCTCCTCCAGCGGCATGGCTACTTCATAACGATCTTCGTTTTTTAGAACTTCAAAGGCAGGAAAGAATAGGAATGAATTATTTCAAAGGGACCGTGTACAATATTGTGAAGATGATTATCTTACTCTGCGGCTGTGGAGTGCCTAAATGCTTCTTGGATGTGGCTGCGGCATCAGACCTTCTTCCGTTATCCATCACCAACATCTAGAAAAGTGGAACAATATTTGATTAGAGCGAATTTGTTCTTTTTGTTGGCTTGCATTTATTTTTAGCAACACATATTTTACCTGAGGTGATCATATCCTGAACACGTGGAATGCAATCCATTACAGGAGCTGTGTTAAAAAAATATAAATAAAAACTGCCTTTACTCAACTCAACTCACACGGGAAATAATGCTGAGGTTTGATTGAGACGTTCCAAATTATCGTTCAAAAATGTGTGAAGATTGTAATGTAAGTTACATCTTAAAGAGTTGTCAGGACATCGTCATGAAAAGTGTTTCTGGTATTTGATTTGATTTATCCACAGTAGACAGGCAAAAAAATGTAACAACTTTTAAATAGGGTTATAAAAAAAAAGAAAACAATAACTTCATCTCAATCATTCTCTTTGTTCTCGCTTTATGCATGACTCGAAACTCAAATATAATGACATGTTTTGTTTTTGTTTTTTATAGTACAGATGCAATATGCTAACGAGCTGTTCAAAACCAGCCCGTCATAACAGCGAGCAACCATCGAGCTGTGAAAATAACGTCAATCACCCCAAAAACGTTTTTCTCCACTTCAGTCTGTCTTTCTGGAAATGCATCGTCCCATTTCTGTTGCAAAGGTGCCAGTGTGGGTACAGTACGTACCGGATGAAGGCTGGTAATAGGCTTATGACAGACATGTAATAAGACGTCGTTATTACTCTGTCATGTCGCCATCTCGCGAGCCCCTCCGCTAGCTAACAAGCTAACAATAACAATATTATTATTGCATGCTGGCAGACGTCATTTCCGGTTATAATCGAGTCAATAGTCAAAAAGGCGGGGCTTTCAAAATCATTTTTACATGATTTAAAATTTGACACTCCGTACCTAAAGTGAAATACAAAAGGGCACGGGCTAGAGAAACATACCTCATATATATATATATATATATATATACAATCTCAATCTGAGTGCACACACACAGCACTGAAACCGCCCTCCTCAAGATCACCAATGACCTCCTCTCCTCTGATTCCGGCCCACTGTCCATCCTCATTCTCCCTGACCTAACAGCTGCCTTCGACACCATCAACCTATATATATATATATATATATACAATCTCAATCTGAGTGCACACACACAGCACTGAAACCGCCCTCCTCAAGATCACCAATGACCTCCTCTCCTCTGATTCCGGCCCACTGTCCATCCTCATTCTCCCTGACCTAACAGCTGCCTTCGACACCATCAACCACTCCATCCTACTCTCTCGCCTGAAATCTCTAAACATCACCAACAAAGTCCTCACCTGGCTTCGCTCATATCTCACAGCCAGGAAACAATTCATCCACATCAACAAATGCTCTTCCTACACTGTCCCAAGGTGTCCCCCAGGGTTCTGTGCTTGGTCCTCTTCTCTTCATCCTCTACCTTCTACCCCTCGGCCAAATCATTCGTCATCATGGTCTCCTGTTCCACTGTTACGCTGATGACGTCCAGTTGTACATCTCCACCAAATCGTTCACACCAACAACCCACTCCACGCTAACTGTCTTTCTATCAACAACTCCACCCTGTTCCCCTCCTCTCACTGTCGCAACCTTGGTGTCCGTTTTCATAACAATCTCTCTTTCGACTTACACATCACCCAAGTCACCAAAACTGCTTTCTTCCACTTCCAAAACATTTCTCATCTCTGCCCTTCACTTTCTTTCAACGCCGCTCAAACCCTCACCACGGCTTCATCACCTCCCGCCTTGACTACTGCAATAGCATCCTCTATGGTACAACCTCCAAACTCCTCAATAAACTATAGTACATCCAGAACGCCGCCACCCGCTTTCTCACCCACGCCCGCACCCGTGATCACATCACCCCCGTCCTTAAGAACCTCCACTGGCTCCACTATAAAGCCCTTGACAATCAGGCCCCCTCCTACCTCTCCGACCTTCTCTAATTTCAATTTCATGATTCCTTTGAGTTTTGACATTTTCCTTTTGACGTTCTCTCTTTGTGACTACAAACATAGAGAGACAAACATTAAATAGTTTTGAGACAAAGCAAAAATCCATTATATTCAATGTGAATAGTTTGGGGCCTAGCACAGACCCTTGAGGAATCCCATGAGTTGATTTGATATTCTTCAACTGCACATACAGATAGCTATTATCGAAATCAATGGTTCCCAATGCCCGGGCTGCGGACCGGTACCAGTCCGTGGGTCATTTGGTACCGGGCCGCAGAGAAAGGCTAATAACTTACATTACTTCCGTTTTATTCATTTCAGAATCTGAAAGATGGTTTATTTTGAAAAATTACCGGATTCTCTCTTACATCCGTCTACAATATGTCACTCTTGATGCGGGTCAAGGCGCGCTTCTCAGGCATGTTATAGGTTACAGCTAAAATGAAACCTGAGAGCTAACAAAGTGAGTTAAAACTAAGGTCTTGGAAAGTTTTTTTGGGAAGGGGAAAAGGCCCAGCCAGGAGACAGAAGAGGAGCCTACAACTTTCAAGAAAAAGAAGGCTACATTTAATAGACACTAGTAGGAGTCCCACTTAAAATGCGGATTTATCTCAACAGGAGATTCCCACGCACCAAGGCCGTATTTTTCATGCACTTTTTATCTACGGTGTATCTTATTTTGAAGGCACATTTCAATGTTAGCATAGTGACCAGAGAATGTTGCGGCCAGATAGGAAGTTCCTTGTGTCATGATTCGTTTTTATTATGTTAAGAAAATACCACAGTTTTCATGCAGGTCATATCATATTATTTTGTTGTATTTATCCGGCCTTAAAGGCCAGTCCCTGAAAATATTGTCTGACATTAAACCGGCCTGTGGGGTAAAAAAGAGGTTGGGGACCACTGATCTAAATCACTTTTCATCCATTTATCCCATGTGCTGCAGTCGATCTAAATAAGTTTATATAACGCGACATACAATTTTACAAAAATTGTAAAAGTATTATTCCTGAATATTTATTTCACTTTCAACCACTCGACATGTTCAGTGGCATCAGTGCTATACATACACATATAGTTCTTATTTTTTTCTTTGTATTTTTGCACTCTATGGACAATAAAAGCGTTATTGTGCTATGACCAAAACATAAATATAAATCTATATAAATAAAACATGAATTGGAATATTTCATATCACACACTTTTTATGCTGTGTCTTTGATTTAAAGATGACAATACGCAAAAATCTACAAAAATTGTAGAAATTGTAACATATGGGGTAACCCATGTGTTACAAACATCGTAGAAATTGCAGCACAAGGGTTTAAAGGTATGCCACCTGTAATTTCTGGTTGACATTTCTTGTCACCACTAAAAGATGTGACTGACCAACAAAATGTTTACATCTTCACAGCGGGTCCTCGGTCGCAAGACATTTGGTCAACTTTTAACCTTATGGAGCTTCGTTCTTCATGTTTTTGGCTATTGGCCAAAATTTGCTGCCATGCTTAAGCTATACAGAGACGAAAACTATGTTTTTCGCAATCTCTGTTTGTCCATCTGTCTACTACAAGTGGTTTAAATTTAGTAGTACTGTATTTGGGCAAAATCTCGATCAAATTTGTGGTGAAAGGACTCCTGGAAATACAATACAATACAATACATGCTGATTTATATAGCGCTTTCACAACAGCGGCAGCTGTAACAAATGACGTAACTGACCATGAAACCACTGCTTCAAACCAAAATGGCGGACTTCCTGCTCATGTTATAGCATGACTTCTTAATCAGGGCTTGACTGGAGCAAGAAATCGGTGCTGGCATTTTGTAAACACTTGTGCGCACGCAAATATCTAAGTGCAGGCATACATGTAGGCACAACCGTGCAAACACGTTCAATATTCAAGCACGTGGTTGTGCACGATCATACTCCTTACTTTCTCTGAAAGTCATTGTTCCCCATACGATCCAGTCAAAATTTGCACATACAGTGATATTTTACAGTTAACCCCCAGCGAGTCCCAGGGACTCACTGATCAGAAAAGTATGAGTCCCATGATGCATTTAGAGAGTCCCAAATTTCAAATTCTGAAATGGTCTACTAGTTCAATTGCATATCATAATAACACAAACAACATATACATACAATTGTGAACAAATGCTGCAAAAATTTTAAGAATTAAGGAGCAGGCCTGAGGATTTCAGAAATTCACAGTAACCGTTTTTCGGTTCCGTCGGATTACCCAATGGGAAACCACGGTAACTAATTTTGGGTTCCGTAAACATTCATCATGGGAACCCATTTTTCTATTTTGACTGATATTCATAATCAAGAATTCTGAAACTAAAAAGTAGAATGTTTCAAGGGTAAATGTTTGAAAACTATCCATTAACAATGAACATTACATCAGCAGCTGTGTACTCCAGGTTTATTCCAAAAAATAAATGGATCAAAATATGGTGTAGTCATATGGCATCATTAATACAGCATACCACAAAATCAGAGTATTTTTTCCAATCTCACACTGCAAAGATTAATTTACTGGTAAATAATGATGTGGCTTGACATCCTCTTCCCAAGACGATGCATGTGTAATCTACTATCAATTTGACGAAAGTATCTAACACACGTCATCATTAGTTCTACCAACAGTTAACATTAACATTACTACACTTTGTGACGAATGTTTTATTCCTAAAGTTACCATGCTACAACTAGTAAATTATAGAATAACCAATACTGTTTCATCATATTTTTCATAGCGATTAGCCTATAGATCTAATGACCAACTTGCCTCGCAATCGTGCCTCTCGTCGTATCTCGCTCTCGTGTTCTGTGCCTACGTCACAGGTGAGTTTAGTGATACGCCCTTCGTACGATTCATACGAAAAATCAGACTAGCATTCCCATTTCTTAAATGTCGTAATTAGGAGACCTTTGTGAGTTTTTTTTGCCGCCATCTCAAACTTTCATCCGCGCGATTCCTTAGTTTTCGGACTAAAATAGAAATGCGCACATAACGTTATCTGTTCCGTCCCCCCCAAACACTGAAAATAAAACAAAACCAAAATAAATTAGAAGAAACACACTCACACACCACACCACAAACACCCATACAGACACAGTGAAATCGCATTGATCACACAGGAGAGACTTGATCGCGTACAGTCAACTCGTGTGTGGTGAATTTTATGGTTAAACGATTTTTCGGTACTGTCAAAATGACGCCACGGAAACGACACGCTACCGGTAACAATCGTTACCGTGAAATCCTCACGCCTGCCGTATTTTTTATTTTTTGTTGTTCCGTCGAAAACGAAGCAAGACTGGAAAATTGGATCAATACCTGTATCTGTTGTTCCCATCTTTGTGTCAAGTTTTTGCAGGCATCAAACCAGCACACCTGCAATCCCCCTGGTTAATTTTAATGCAAGGTGCCATGATAGTAACGGATGTGACGTTAAGTCGTTGACCATGCCTTCCCTTGCCCCCACCAGTTGCTAACAAGGGATACCCCAGATTATTGGTGTTGGCGTCTACATTGTTAAACATGGTACTTAAGAGCTGAGCTTGTACCTCAAATAGTTAAACATTTAACCACAGGCTCACAAATCCATTTGAATGGATTAATACTGTAATTGTACTTCTGCTAACAAAAAAAAAAAAAAACAAAACATCAGAGTTAAACAAAATGTAACATCCAATTTTATCATCATAGTGAATTAAGTGCACTCTTTGGTGTTTGAGCTACATGCTTTATCAAGCCTCAAATTCACCTTTTTGAAAAAATATCGAGTATACATAGGCGCTAACTGAAACACGGGATCAACCTTCAGTTAAAGACAGTTGCTTACCTTAATCACCAGGATCCCCGCTGTCCCTGGTCGAACGGCAGAACGCAGGTTGCTCTTTCAACTATCCATCCAGCGATCCATTTTTTGAAGCGCATTTTGGACTAATTTGAAGTCCAACCGCATGTTATACAAGCAGCTGGCTAGCGCTAGCCGAACCGGTGTATTTTCCGGCAGGAAAGCGGCCTACTGCTGTGATGGGAGTGAGGCAAGCAATGATGTCACAAAGACAAAGGCAAACTCTGGGTACACTCTCTAGTTGGGCTTCATTGACTAGTGATGGGAAAATGAAGCCTCATGAAGCAATGAGGCCTTCCATCCAACTGGTTCGTTCCTGGGCCGAAGCATCATGAGGCTTTATTTGTGCTACTGCGCCATCATGTGGAAAATAAATGTCATGACAGACAGTGATTAAAATGATACCATGGATTTGATGTAGAGGTAAAATCGGGCCAAAAAAATCCAGCCCGACCCGGCCTGCTGGTATTTAAGCCCAACCCGGCCCGAGCCCGACCAATTATCTTGATTTACAGGCCCGAGCCCGAAGCAAACCCGACCGACATTTCCTATTTCATTTGTGATGACTCGGGAGGAGGAGGGGTGATTTGTGATAACAAATTAAAGCCTGTCTTTTGTCACAAAATCTAAGTTAAACAAGTCTGTATAATTATTTACATCTTTAAAACATGTATTTCTGTTTCTGAAGAGGGTATATTAACCGACAATTTTCCATCATTGACGGATTTTTTTT